GAAAGAAACACATGATTTAAGCAAGCGGCATGAAAGCCCAGAGAGCAAACATTCCTCTGAGATGTGTTTAAAGCGATCGCTGTGTTTTAGTTTTAAAAAGCCACTTCTGTAGACCCAATGTGTATGAGTCACTGATCTCAGGGGTTGAGTGCAGAAGGAATGCAGGGCCAGGCTCAGTGCTTGCAAAAACTAGAATCACTAAAGGAGTCACTATTCTTTGTAGGAGCCTGGATATTACCACGATAAGGGCACAAGTAGAAAAAAACTACAGAGGAAAAATGACATTTGCTCACTGCAGAATCTCCAGCCAGTAGGAGGTTTGCACTGAGAAAGACAGTAGGATGCAACTAGTAGGCCTTGATCCTGCCATCTCAAGCCAACTTGATAATTACTGCATAACTAGTAAAAGGAGTGAGAGGTCACAAATGCCAAGCCCCCTACTACTGATTTGGCTAGTCCCACCTCCAGTAAAAGTCCTTTAATAGAAAGACAGAGCATTGCACCTGCTGACAGCTGGGGACAGAAGCCAAAGCCTTAGAGGACATGCATGAAGATCCCAAGTTGTTGTAGACTATATTGCACTGCATTTCTCTTACATGGAGGGAACACGCACACAGCTTCCTTTTTTTTTTTTAATCATCTTTATTGAAATAAAAAGCAAGGGGGAAAAAAATCCCCTCCAAACCAAAAGGGTTATGGAAAAAGATTTCATTTACTTTAATGCCATGCACTACTTTGGTTTGGAATCTCTAAAAGGCACATTAAATGGTATCTCACAGGCTGCAAATCAAGTGCTAATTAAAACTGCATTAACCCTAATGGATTGGAAAGAGGGAATCTAATTTAGAAAACTTGTGTTTGCTCAAAGCAGGCTGGAATAACAAAGTATGCCACAGTTCTGCTCACATGCACTCACCTAAACACATGCTTTACTAGATCAACTTGACAGGAAAAGTTTAAAGGGGATGATACTTCTTTCATACTGTTCCTGATAGACTAGATTCAGTAGCTTTAAGATGCATGTGCTCACACTCCAATACAAGTCTGAAATGTGCTGGTGCTAATCAGTGTCACAGGTGCTCGTAATAGTCCACCTAATTACTTCATTATTTTTTGCCACTCCACAGCCCAGTTTGTATTTACTGTACAATATATAGTTCTTACCACCACTTACGGGGAAGATTTCAACCATTCCGTAAATTCTCTCTTGGTTAGGACAAGTATTGTCTTGTTTTCCTTGATTTCCCAGGTGGGCGAGAGGAAAGCATCAATGCAGAATCTAATTAATGACAATAGGTCCTAGAAGCAGGAGTGATAAATGATCCCTTGTTTTTGAAAAACAAACAGATTTCTTTTCCGTGTCATTGTTTCTTTTTAGACCCTAATACACAGCCCCAAGATGGGAAAACACCTCCGTGCTTCTCCAGTACTGCACCCACACTAAATACAGCAGAACCTGGGTTCGCATTGTTGTGGGGGAAGCGGAGCTATAAGTAGCCCCCTGAGGCTTGTTGTCCTAATGAATACCAGACCACAAATTAATGAAGTAGGTTTTGGAAAAACATTGTGATTTTTAGCCACTCAAGCATCGGTAAATCTGCTAGAAGTCAAGACAGCTGTTTGTCGCTTGTTAAAATGTTGATTGTTTACAAATTAGATTTTTTTCCTCTGAAAAAACAGCACCTACCAGCCTGGGATTGTCACTCATCACAAAGAAAGGGTGCTTCCTTTGCTGCAGGAGACAGGCGAGCGATCGGGAATCTATTGCGAGTAAGCTCAGGTTTGTTTTTCTCCTTTCATCAGAAGCATTCATTTCTTCCCCCCAAACTTCCCTGCTTAGGTTTTTGTCCACCTTGTCTTGCATTTTTATTTACAGTCAAAATCCATTCACTTGTAAGGCATACCAAATCAGAATTGGGGGGTGGCATAGGACAGGATTAAGAAGGGAAACTACAAATTACATACGGGTTTTTGTAGGGGTTTTTCTTTTTTTAACCTTTTGCACGCAAAAGGTATTTGGCAGTGTGACATTTAGTGTCATCTGTAATTAAGAACTTTGTTTGCAAGAGTAAAGAGGCTACAAAGTATCGTGTTTTCGAGCTAGCCTATTTCTTCTCTCCAACAACTATAAAACTCACCCAAACTGCTCATGGATTGCCTCAGCTTGGCAATCAAGGCCCATACCTAAAGTAGCTGGCAGCTTCCTGTGTCTTAATCTTCCTGTTTGTAGAATAAGCTGCAATTTGTTTTCATTGACCCGTGGCATCACTTCTTGAATCTAGGGTTACCTTAATGAACCAAAACATATGAGAGTCATAAAATTCCTTTTTAAGTCCTCTGCTGCTATCCCCTTTCCTATTCCATTGCTCCTTCAGCATCAGGGCAGTAGGTAAGAGTGGCACAAATCATCCGTCTATGCACAAGGGAGCAAGACTAAAAGAAACCATGTTGCAATGACAACCGTGCCGTTTCACTTAATGACTGGTCAAGATCCTACTTGGAGATTGTACCCCTTTCCTTCTCTTGATGCTGGTTGCTCCAAAGGAGCAAATCCCTGTTTGCCTTGCCGGTCGTGAGGTGGAGCTTATTTCCGTAAGAGCTGGATTCATGACTCAAGTTAAGTGCACCATAAATCATGCTGTGCTCCACCAGCACCACCAATTTCCTGGTTGCAAATTAACGTGTTGCATCATTTCCACAGGCTGTTTTGACCTGAAGTTTAACAAGGACCTCAGATATCTGAGGTTTAAGTCAGTCAGCAAGCATCTGCGGTGTGTGTCCCTTTATTTGGCACAGTGCTTCCAAACCCTTTCTTCAGCATGATCCCATTTATGACCCCATTTCCTCAGCATGGCCCCACACTCTCAACTCGCAGCCCCCTACCCCGCCAGGTGCCCCTTGCCCACAGCCCCCTGGCCCTGCTGGTGCCCCTCACTCCCAATCCGCAGCCCCCTCGTCCCTGCTGGTGCCCCTCCCTCCTGATCTGGAAAGAGAACACTACTTTAAGCTGCGGCACCCTGGTAGTGGGTCGGTTTTTGCTTAAACCACAAACAGGTATCTCAGAAGCATTACAGGAAAGGAGATCTTTTGGCCAAAGCTTTGTACCAAGGCCTTGAGGGGATACGAGTTCCTTCCTTGGCTCTGGCACAGACCTTGAGTAAGTCCCTTATACACTCTGTGCCTTGGCTATAACAAGGGGAGAATAGTTCCTCTCACCATCTGTGTAGCTTGCAGATCTTTAGGGCCAGGAGCTTATGGACAGCATCTAGTGCAGTTCAGTCCCAGTCTAAATGCTACAAGTATTCCCCTGCAAAAACTCAACATACGTTGAATAGAGAAAGAGAGGAAAAAAAGAACAATTTTCATTCTCTTGAAGCTCTATATACTAACAAGTCTCATTTTATCTTATACCCTAGTGTTACCCCATAGATTTTAACTCATCAGAACAATCACCTTGAGCCTTGACTCTCACCACTGTCTCTAAGCTGTGGTGAAGAGGGATGCCTGCTGGGAGTCATTCGCAGTTCTGCCCTTTGTCCTTCCTGAACTGGTTGAAATGTGTGCAGCAGGGACCTGTTCTAACTTCTGCCTAAAACAAATGTCATCCCAGTGGAGAATGAGCCCATGTGTCACTCTGTCGCCTTACATACACCAGGTCTATAACATACTCCTACCCTGGTCTTAAACTGGACCAGGGGAAGTAGCAAGAGCTCCGACTCCAAGGAGTTCTCCAAAAATTATCTCCGCTCTTTTAAAACCGTCCAGGCTATGTCACCAACTGGAGAATCTCTCTGTGTGTCCTCGATCTTTGTGTACAGCATCGCACATGGGATACTGCAGACAAATATTAAGTAGCACCATTGAACGGGAGTGTAACTATATTACTTCATACTGCTACTACTACAGTTAGATTAATCTGTTTAGGACCATGTTCTGCGTACATTTTGAAGATGTATAGTCTGTAGGAGATGTCCTGGCTTTAGCCCTCTCACTTTAGCATGAGGAGCAAGTACCAGATACTACTGGCACAGTGCAGGAGGATGCGCCAATAGGGGGTGTGTGTGTGTGTACAAGTCAAACTCACCAATAGATTTCTAAATGGTAGGGGTAGAACACAACTGACTTACATTAATCTTTTTCAGCTGTCCAGAGAAGGGGCCCAGAGAGCAGAATTTTAAACACCTGAAAGAACATGTAGGAGCCCAAAGGAATTTACAGAAGTCCAACTGAAATACATCCCAAGAAACCTCTACAATTTGGTCATATACAAAGAAGCCGAGTTATGCAAAGCTGAAATGGAGCCTTGCCCTAGTTTAAAGCATCCATAGGTCCCTAGAATATCTGTGGCTGCAGGCTCAATAAAAAAATAGTCATTAACAAAGAAAGCAAAACGTTTAAAATTGCATGAGACAACTGGGAGTTCTTAAGAACAGTGCTTGCCAGTAGTGTCGTGCTTTTCAAAGCACCATGCAAAAATTAATTAATTAGTACATAGATAAGCCTCCTTGTTCAAATGTACCATGACTGTTCAATATATATGGACCAATACGTTCAACATATCTTAGGAATGTCCGTCACTTTGTTCTAAAATTCCAGAAGGTGAGAGAAGTACCATTTACCAAATACTGTTCACCTGAGGCTTTCAAAACCTGCCTTACCTTCAGGGAATTTCCTATCTTGAATGGCAAGTTCCCTCCTTGAAGAGCAGGTGTAATTTCTGAAAGTTCTTGAGACAAATAAACTAGGAAACATTTATCATTATGATTGCACTTGCTGTACCTGCACCCACTACTGCCACAGACTGACTGTAAAGCTGCAGTGTGTCTGACACCGGGTGGAAGGTAATTTGGTGCAACATAGAAAATGGAGGCATAAAAACCTGTCTCTAACCAGGTTTTTTTGTTAAAGATAGCCTAGCCAGAATTGTGTTTTGTGGAAACCCGGCAATCAGGTTTGCAGAGCAAGAACAAAAATGTGCTTGGATCCAGACATCATTTGATCTAAACTACCCACATTCAGAAGGATTCAGGCTCTCAGTTTAGTCTATTTGTATTTAATACCAGTTTCATACTCACTCTATTGTCAACATACCATATTGAAAAAGTATATCAGCCTCAATGCCCCACCCAAATCATGACATTAGTTTAAAATGCATGAGATTTAAAAAGACTTTGAATGTTTTATTTGCTTTCTGGATTTTAAGCGAATAAAATTCAATGTTTTCAAGTTTTTTTCTACAATCGTGCGGGATTTGTTGTTCACTTTTACAATGGATGCATACCATTTGTGGCAGACAACTGCTGTGACTGGTCCAGGACCCACGCTGCACATAGTGTGCACCCTGGAGCAGCCAGGGGTGGGGTGGAGATGCACGGTGTAACATGGGTCCTGGCCCATACTGGCCGGGGCAGGCACTGAAGGCTGGATAATGGAGCCCCATGACCCAGACCAATCCATAGGCCATATCTTTGACACCCCTGCCTTAGAACAATTGTTCAAAGATGCATGTAAAAGCTAAAAACATCAAAAGTGGCCGGTGATTTTTGAGCGTATGAGGCTATGCACCCAAAAACCATGGGTGTCAAGATACCTAGCTACTTCTGAAAATGCAGATCATGTAATATAAAACACCCATTTTGATTGCTAGACACTTCCAGGGATCCAAAGCGCTTGCATATGCCTTCTGGGAACAGAAGAGTTAATTAAATTACCTTGTATTTAGTATTAATCTTTTTTTTTCCCAGGCTTGTCAGGTAGCAGACAACAAGCCTAGACTTGACTCTGAACATCAGCTTTGTGCTAGCATAGTCTTGTGGGTAAGCTAATGTAATATTAATTGAATTGACATCTCTGTTGAGATCAGTTACAAATGCAGTATCTGAGTTATTTAACAGTTGGCAGTTTGAGAACTGGAGCCAGGTTCTGATCATCAACACAGGCTTGGTTCACTGGCTTGGCAGGCAGTTCATCCATGCCGATAGGTAGCAGAAGTGAGGTGGGATTCAAATATTTTTGTGCAGCGCAGGCACAGATGAAAAGTTATCTTTTTTAGCTTAGTAACTTCTTTGAGGTTAGAGACCAATTAAGCATTCCCATTCAGTCTTAAATCCACTCTCCTTCCGCCTGGATTAAGATTTTCCATGAATGATGATAAACAGAGGAAAAAATTCTCCTGAACATCTTCCACAACCTGATCAAAGTATGTCCTTCTCAGACGGTGACAAGACCCTCTCCTCAGTGACTTCAGAGTTCATGACAACTAGAAGGGATCTGGGTAGCTCAGAGGAGGTGTCTGATGGTTAAAAAAACATTGAAGAAAAGAGTCTGCTGAAGTCAAACTGCAGGGTGTGATTCATCTGGGATGCATTTATAGACATGCTCTAAGTGCTCTAGGGGAAGGATGTTCCCCAGTGTGTTCTAGCCATCCGCTCTCGCCTGCGTACACCATACCTGGGAACGAGACAGTGGAGCCTCTCCAGGTCGTTTCTGTAGCTCCTCTCCATCTCTGGTGGGTAGAAATCAGCTACCGAGGATATCGCTGGAGTACCTCCACTACCACATTTCTGGCACATGCAAACAGGAGCGGGTGGGCAGCAGGCGCTTCAAACCATCTCTTCCTCGAAGTGCTGGGGATGTGGTCTAAAAATCCCCTTATCGATTGCTGGGAAAGGTTACTGTTCCTCCTCTGAATATTTCAGATCCAAATGAAAATGTATTATTTTGGTCAACATGTTTGGACAAATGTTAAAGCTTTTGAAGACAAGTTTTCCCCACGAAAATGTGAAAATGAAAAGTTCCTCTGACAGCTGAGAAAATGTAAATGTCCTTCTCGTGACAAAAACAGGAAAGATATTAACAAGGTTTCATTAAATTCCCTGAGGACTTTTCAGTTTTGATGAAAAAGTGATTTTTCCTTACAGTCCATAGTAAACCAAAATGGCTGAGCCACTCTAGCTCTACTTCCTTCCAGCTTCTGCTTCTTGACCACAAACCTGCCTATATGGGAGTTTCTCCCACGAATAACTCGGGTAAGTGTTGGCCATGGAGGAGGGTGACTTAAGAGTGTGGCAGACCTCTTCATTCATAATTGCAAAAGGACATCTTCATTGGCAGCAGGAGAGATTGGGGATCATGCAGTTTTCCTAGCTTTCACTCCTCTGGTCAAAAGGCTACTGGTCCCCATGTACATCGCTTCACTCACCGAGCACGTGCTCACACACGAATTCCTGTTCCTTTTGATGTCACTGCTCAGTGGATAAGTGCATAACTCTTACTCTCCTGGTAAGCAATGAAGACTCAGACTTGCATAGTACCTCCCAGGTATGGGCTCATCACAACCACCTTATCCAGAGGACTGATCCTCTTCCTTTCATAGCCAGGCAAAAAGCCACATCCCCCAGAGGTTATACAGAATGAAACAGAGTAAGTAACACGACAAAAATGGGAGCATTTATAAATGACCTCTGGCCTTCTCATGTCCTGCGCATGCCAAATAAAATCCATTGCACAAACTCCCATCCTACCCCATGCAGCATACATCTATTGGATCGTACAGGTAGCTAATTGAAGCATCAAAATGTCAGCTAGCAACTTGCTTGGTCTTCATACAGCTTTTTATCTCAGGATGTGGTAACAATATAGTACATCTACCCACTGGGGAACTGCTCCTCACAGATTTATGGATTAACATAAAGCTTTTGTACCAATTTTGATAAGGAATCTGATTTTATGCCACTATAGGTAAAGCGGTACAACCTCTAGCAGGGAAACTGGTATACTGATAGAAAGGTGGATATTCCAGTATTAGCTATACCTGCACATAAAAGCACCCATGCCAGCGATTGAAGCACTAACTAGACTGGTTTCCTGTGCGTGGACAAATCCTTACAGTGTGATTGTAAGGAGATCCTGATGGGCATCTGAAGTTACAAACTTCTTCAGAACCCTATGAGAAAAACCTCGTGGAAGCACCACAGGCTACCTAGTCATTTGACTAGGTTTAGAGATGGCAGTTCACAGAGAAAACCCAGAGCCTGGTCGCCAAAGAATCGGTTAACAGATCAAGAACTGTATGGTGGGCCCCAGGAGCTTGAGAAACTCAGCCTCCACAAGAAGAGAGCAGCTGGTAGTGGAAGGAGAAAAATGCCCTTGTGAGTAAATCACTGTCAAATTGCTACAGCGGATGTTGCAGTAATCATGTCTTCCAATAAGTAAATAATTGTGGGTGAACACCTGGTTTTCATAGTGCCTAACGTACCTGCCACTGCCACTTTGAAGACAGAGACTCGCATATAAAGCAGAGCAAATATTTCTTTCAAATGACTACAGAAAACACGCAAAAATCTGGATTTCTCTCAAAGGAGCTAGGGAACCCAAATGTAGCTATTTGTTATGAACCAAAATGTCTTTGCATGGGAGAGCAGCAGGTAGTTTCACAAAGCAAGAAGCCACAAAGCCTCATTTCTGATCATTAGTTTTTTGTCTAAAATAATGATCCCTTTTAGTCATTCAGTTGTAGCTGTCATGGTCTGCACTTGTGAAGGACAAGCCACTATTCTACATCCATCTCAAATGTCCCTCGTTTCGAGTGATAGGATTCATTTGGAAACCAATTTCCCAATTTCTCACTTTGCACGTCAGAAATGCAAAATTAAGGAAAGTGTTATTTGTTATTATTGATGTTTCAGTAGTACCTAGGAGATCCAGCGAAAGCAGAGCCCCATTGCACTAAATACATGGACTCAGTCCCAGACACAAGATCCTCCAGGCTAGGAAGACATGACAGAGGAAGAGGTGGGAAAAGAAAATATTGTCAGCATTTTCCAGAGAGAGAGAAGTGACTCAGGGAGAGACTAAGTAATCTCTCCAGTATCACAGTAAAAATCTATAGAAGTGTTAGGAACTGTGCTCAAAACTTTCAAGACCCAATCTGCATTTTACAAGAACATCCTTCCACTCAAAGGAAAATAATCTCATCACATACTACACTTCCTTTAGGCATAACTCTTGGGGTTCGCTATACCATTCTGAATATGTCACATGCTTTGTGCCTCCATTTGGGCTATAAACTTGTTGAAAACTTTGAACATTTCCACCATACATTTGATTATATTGACTTTCTTCACTTGTCGCGTGTATGCAACCTGCTAATGGTTCAAAATGGAACCCACTAAAGCAATGGGCAAGACATTTCTTTTTCTTTAAGTATGACTTTGTCTAAACTAAACTGGTTTTATCGTTAGAAGGGAAACACCCTTATTGATTGGTGGGAAATGTTCGTGTTTCTCCTCTGAACACCTCAGATTCAAATGAAAATTTATGTTTAGGTCAACATTTTTTGACAAATATTAAAGTTTTTGAAGATAAGATTTCCCCACAGTTCATAGCCAGCGTGCACCCCAGCCACAACTTCTGTGTAGCTCCATCAGAGCAGCCGTACCAGCAGGGGCAAGGGACCACAGTAGGTGGCAGAAGACACAGGCAGAATTATCATACAATCTAGAATCACAGGGTTGGAAGGGACCTTACAATTCATGTAGTCCAACCCTCTGAAGGAATGCAAAATGATGTCCCTAAATTACACCTGCCCAACACTTCTTCAGCCTCCTCTTGAAAGCCTTCAGTGAAGGAGATTCTACAACACCCATGGGCAATCTGTTCCAGTGACTTCTTCTTCTAGCTTCTGCTGGTTGCACAGTTGATGTTACCCCGCTGATAGAAAGAGTGGGGCTCTGTCACCACCATAAAAGACCTCCGGATGTAAATGCACTCATTATTTTGCTGGCAGGACCCAAGTTCTGCCAACAAAGGTATGTGGTATTGAACAGACCATAGAAACATCTGGAAAGAATAATTGCTCATCTAATAAAAAGGCCAGTGCTTCTGTGATCAATGTGTATTAATAAACTGACCTCCAAAAGACCATAGCATAATCCGGTGCTGCCCATCAGGAGTAGGAAGGGTTAAATTTGCCTTGTTGGGATTCAAACCTGTAGGAACAGGAAATCAAGTAGATCTCTCATGTCTCATATCTTGTGTAATATTTATAGTTTCTGTTGTAAGAGACCTTGAGGTCTTCTTGACAAGGCCTTTAAATACAACCTTGAGGTCTTAGGGTCTCCCACAGATAAAATCCAGTCTAATTTAATGC